GAAACACTTCAACCATGTAGTTTAAAATGCTTCGATACTTTCAGATTTTGTTCGAGAGGGCAAACGTTGTTAGCTGACAACGATATGTCGGTAACGAAATACTGACTTCTTGTTCAAAAACTTTTCTTATGTCACTAAATGCGAAGAAAACTAGGAAAAGAATGGTACAGTTTTTGGTTCGACAAGAACTTTTCTTTAGGAAACGTATCGGCGAAAGCAGACAGCAAGAAAAAGCAGTGTTCGCCTTATGACAGTCGAGGAGTGCTCGAGTACATCATCAGGGACGAGTGCTTTGAAAAGCAAAGGGCGCTCGATAAACGTAGTTGAATCATTATTTTTATTTTAATTTTTTAGATTTTTAACTGCAATTTTATCCTCTCGCAGACTGTAAGAGTTATTTGATTTATTTGTTTTTCGTTGTTGACTGCTGTTAACCTTTTGGGGGACTGATTTTTGTAAACTGAGTATTATGAATGTTAAATCAAACAGTCTTCTCATATTATACTGCAGCTGTTTCAATCACTAGAATTATTTGCACTTTCTTCATACTAGATTTTAGAATTCAAAAGGTTCAGTAGTTGTAATTTGTTAGCTTGTAAAAAACCAAATTATTTTAGAAAGTAGTATCTTTACCTATCGAGCACCTGCCAAAAACTAGAAGAAATCATGGACAGTGTTCACCAAAATGTGTTCAAGATGTGGACAAGGATCCCTATAGTGGGATAAACAGGAAGATGTTTGAGAATTACTCGCCTTTTGCGTACCCGCTGCTCACTGGATGGTCGAGAATGGTACAAAAATTTTTTCTTTCTTATGGCGTCGCTGTCGTGCAATTTTCTTTCTTTCTCCAAAAATTTATACTTTGCCGTTGCTGGAAAAACTGAAGTTTTACTTTGCCTGATAGTCAAAGAATAATCTCGTCTAGACTTATTTGTATTTTTTAGGGACAAAAACATTGCTTATACTTTTTAGACAGTTACTTTTTCTCGTGCGGCAAACGCGAAAAAAGGTCGTGCAGCAACCCAGTTGGTAATAGCTTATCGTTCTCCGTGTGGTAAAACTTTTTACACTTTAGAGGACATCGCTTCTTATTTAAAGGTATGGTCTATCAGTCAATCAATAGTCTACTCCTTTTTATTAGTAAACTGATTTATTGTCGGAAAGGCAGCTATTTACAGATATAATTTTAAACCAACTTTCAGTTCCAATTGAGACCTGCTTCCCTTTATTTCAGGAGGTGAAGTCGTTTTTGACGATTGACACGTTTTCATTTGAAAGCTCTCTACGGCCCAGAGCCCGCTATTCTTCCTCGAGGGAGCATCGTATTATGGATGATTACGCTGGAGGGAAAGAAGCTTTGTGTATTCCTGTAGTAAACGAAGTTGATTTTGAACATCCAAAAAAGGTGGTCTCGCTGTACTTTTTTTGCTTCATACTCTTCAAGAAATAAGAGTTGTTGTGTGAACTTTACCCAGTTCATTTAGATAGAGTATGCGACCAAACGACACCCTTTTGATAGCGCAACCGATTTGTCGACAATTAAACCTTCTTTTTGTAGTGGTTGTTCGTGTAACGGTATTTTTTTGTCAAATTATGAAAAACAAAAATCTGACTTGTGAAGTAGTTACACAGTTTATGTTTGCTGCATCATACAATGGGGATTTGTTTTTTACGCATTAGAACTTAAGAAAAATGAAGTAGTAACGGAACTTTCAGATGACTGTTCTGATGGCAGTAAGTGCGAGTGTCGGCAACTAACACGAGGAGAAAATTTACGCCTGGCGAAATCTATACAAACACCAGTGTCCTCCGCCGATTACAGGTAATACAAGTGCACATAATATACACAAATGTATTAACAGATAGTAGCTTGACTTTTATGTTTTTCGGAATTTTTCCCCACTTCGGACATTTTCTGATTTCATTATTTTGATCATCTAGTTATGGACGTATTCCGCGTTTGGAATTGGGAACGTTCCTTTCCGGTATTTACGAGTGTAATGACAATTGTCACTGCAATAAGAGGCAGTGCTATAATCGAGTTGTTCAACAAGGAATTCGGATCCCTATTGAGGTCAGGTTTTTATTCCTTCGTTTGTTTTCTGCTTGCGAATTTAATACGCAGCGTGGATTATGCGTGTTGCTGTAGCTTTTCAAAACGAAATGTCGCGGTTGGGGTGTGCGGACTCTGGTAGACGTCCCATCAGGAACCTTCATCTGTAACTACATAGGAGTGGTACTGACGGATAATCAGGCAGAAAAATATGGACAACTGGTAATTCTGGATGCTGTTTTTCTAAAGACTATAATTATTTTGATTTTCTTAGCAATATCAGTAAATCTTGTAGTAAACTTGGTTTTTTGAAATAAGGAGTAGAGGAGTAAGTCAGTTGTTATCTTTAACTCTTCTGGTTTTTGTTTTATTGCTATTTCCTTTCCCCTTTTGGAATGTGAAGCATTAGCATTCTTCTGTGAAGAAAAAGGCAGAATTTCCCTGTCGTTATTTCAGGTTGGCGACACATATTTTGCTGATGTGGATTTCGTGCAAAACGTAGAGTCGGAGAAAAGGAACGCAGGAGTAGATTTGGAAGATGATGATTATTGTAGTGGATCTGAAGAAAACAGTTAACTTTTATTCAGATTCTGTATAGTCTCTTCAAAAAAACTTCATTCTTTGATGAACACTTTGTTTCAGGTTCTCATGACGACTCATGTGAACCATCTTTAAGTCATTATGAGTCAGATTATGAAAGGTAAAGGTCAAAAAAGTTTTGATGGTTTAATTGGTTGGTTCGACGTTTTTTAATTTGTAAATTTTTAGTGGGGCTGACCTGGAATTTTCCGAGAGTACATCAAACAGTACTAGCATTGGTAAGGAGAGGGAACTTAGAAGTAAGGCAGAAGGAGCGTTAGCCAAGTCTTACGTTGTGTTGGCAAGTTCTACCTTTCTCCTCTTTTTGTTTAAAATATTTGTTGCTAAACTGTTTTGCCAGTTAATTTGTTAATTTTAAAATCTTATTTTTCCCTTGTAACAACTTTGGTAAAAATCTTTATTCAAACGAGTTCCTTGTGTGCCACTTTAAATGTTGTTGTTGTAGCGTTCTGACGATGGTCTTAATGACATACATTTGTTCGCAAACAAATCTTTAATGATAACTGAACAACAAAAGAAAGATGAAAGTGAGGAATTTCTCCCAAAAGACAATAACAGCTCACGAAACCAAGGTACTTTTTTTGGAAATTTTATGCTCCATTTTTTGTCTTGTCAAAGTATTATAATCATTTTTTGCTGTTGCTAATAGTCTTTTGAAGTCGCTTTTCAGTTTTAATAGGTGTCGAAAGAAAATGGCATTTAGTTGTCAAATTGCTGCTGAATTCTATCAACAGTTAATTCAATTATTTGTAGGGAATAGGCGATTTGATATGATCAAGTACATGGAACGTTTTGGTAAAACGTCATTATTTACTGTAGATGCATTAGAAAGAGGGAACATTGGGCGTTTCTTCAACCACAGTTGTTCTCCTAACATGAGGACAATATGTGTCTTTGTTGATACACATGATTTCCGCCTACCCTGGGTATCGTTCTTCACCACAAGAAGTGTCAAAGCAGGCGAAGTTGGTGTTACCTGGAGAAATCTTTCACATTGCTTTTACTCTGAAACAATTTTTCTTAAAGTGTGTTTTGACAGTTGCAAGATAGTGGAAGCGTCATTTAGGAGCTCTGTTGGGATTATGGCTACGCTGAAGGAACAGTAGTGGGGAAATCACTACGATGTCTGTGTGGGTCTAGGAAGTGTCGTAAACGTTTACTATGAAGAGGGACGGTAAGTCGTTGACCCAGAGGTTTGGTGTGCACGGCTAAAGGATGTGAGCTGTGTCTCCAGTTACTGAAAACAGTTTGTTTTTTCTCTTTACAGCCTTTATCCACCTGTGATAACGTCTGCTGGCATCCACATGTTTCTAAAGGTCTGAAACCGTTTTATTCTTCTTTCTTAGTCTGTGTTTCTTCGTGTGATATACATATACCGCCTTTCCCTCAAGACAGGTTTTCAAATTAAATGAAACTTTATTCGCCATCGACTCCACCTAGTCCTGCCGTGGGAAATATAGAAATTAGCAATCCTATTCTAGTAATAAAAGTCCAGCAGCACAGAATTGTAAGATGAATGTCGCCTTATTTGTCATTACTTCTTCTATGCGATCTCAGTGCTTTCTGGTTATTGCAATAATAAATGAAGAATTTTAGTCAGTGAGGAGAGACAGAGAAAGTTACATAAACTTACTCAGAGTTTTAAATATGATGGCATATTCGATGGGCTAGTTAAAACAGTCTGTGAGTAGGTGGTGGTAGAAAGTATGCCATGGTAGGCAACCTTCCTGACCGTTTACAAGAGAAATGAAGATCTCTTGTCTTCAGCCCAGCACTTCGATTTGCCTAATACAGTTGGAGTCAGTAAATCCACGACTAAATACGGAGGGAGGTCGTACATCTCACTTGCAAAGATTACAAGGTCAGCTGCTAGATTGCTGAACGCATTTCAGTGAGGACAGAAACGCTGACACTGTATACACGAAGCAACGACTCCATATGCTGCACTACTCGGCAACGATTAATGCTGAGTAGGTGGTGTGCGTGGAAAGGAGAAAATCACATCACTACCCATAAAGTAGAATCGCTTGGGTCTAGTAGCAGTTCATTGTGATCAATTTTCTATTCCTCGGCTGTAAGCGGCAGAAAATTCTGACTCTAAATAGCTCTGCCCTACGTCGCAGCTTGTAGTTTTAGTCTTTGCAAGGATCACTACCTAATTTTACTAATTGCCACCCCTAAACTATAGGGCAGGACCATTTCAAGACCTCATTTTCTGACGTGACCGCTGTTAATGGTAGTCTAAAAGAAAAGTGAGAATACAAGGCCTTAGAACCTTATCACAATAGCATTCAAGAAAGTAGGTTCGTTTAAGTCACTCCAGGTACATGTGGGAAGGTCATCATAACATTTTGTTATGTAAAAAACGTCGCAGTGGAAAAATTCTCAGCATCCCCATCAGACAATTGTATTTATAAATATATAAATTAAAACGGGCAGGTACGGAGTTTTAAAACCAAGAATTATAATAGATATCACGATAAAAATCACGAGTATTAAACAGAGACCGCGGTGGAAGCTACAGTACCAGAAAGCAGAAAAAGTCAATATTATAATGTACAAACATGGTCAACAGTCTGGAAGAAATATTTTGAATACTAAAAAGGAGTCCCATGCAATGACTGGCTCATAGTTGAGGAGTTCGTAGAAGTCAGCCGTCGAAACAAAATCAAAATTTATTTGTTACCTTGAACCACGCTAATCCTCAAACCGGCTGCATCCTTTCCAATCTCAGCTACTTCACAAACATTACACAATTCCCCAGCAAAATTAGGAGAATATGAAGCCCCGCAGAATGGACATCTTGTCTAAACAGAGTAGTGTTTGTTCCATAGGCATTAGAAAATAGGAAAAACGTATAAGAAATTTTCGGAACGGAAAAATTACCTGTGGTTTTCCACGGTAAAGAGGAGTAAAAGACCTTGCGCAGACAACGAAAGGATTATGCTCATCATAATTCAACTAGAATGAAAGAAGGTGGACGCCCCCATGATAAAAAAGAAAATTAGAAAAAGAGACGTGAAAATACCGGTCGGAAGCTTTAACTGATCAAGCCAGGTAAGCAACTCACCTGATGAGTATCTTTGGAATCCTTTTCGGCTGCAGCGAGAACCTTACGAATCTGAGCACCAACTTCCGGTTTAGGGCCTTAATAAAAGCCGTTAAACAAACAGTGGAAGAAGGAAACGAATGTTATTGCAAAAAAAGCACCAACCGAGTTCGAGAAGTCGCTTACAGAAAGACGCACAAGTAGCCATTTGTTTTAACTTGAAAAACAAATTTATTGCAGTCCTAAGTGTCAGTATCTGGTGGACCTAAATGGTTTTAAAATAGTTCAAATAATCAGCAGGTAAATATAAAAGTGATTTAGGCGATGAAATTTGATATTGTAAAAAGACTCACTGGTTGTAACTGACAGTGTGTAAAGTAAGCAGCCATTTCGGCATTTCTTTTTGCGTTCTCTATACTATCTCTAGGTAACTCCTTACGAGCAGTTTCTAACAGCAATCCAACAAGATATTCCCGACAAATATCAATCAGTTGTTGCACTTCAACTACCTTCAACAAACAGAGACAAAGTTTTTTTGACGAGAAATCACGTATATGCTACCGTGTCCACCGAAATTCAATAACGGGAAATGTAAAAAAAAGAAAGATGACGAACTTCTTGTTTGGTATCAACGACCAGCAACGGAACTGCCAACAAAAGTTGCCTAAGCTTTGATATTGCTTCAGTAAATTTTCCTGCCGTTGTAAGATGGTAACAACCTTGTAAACGATTGGCAAGGTCACTCAAATGCAGACCGAGAGCAGGAAGGCCATTTTTCAAAGATGCTTCTTGCCAATTCCGTAACAAGCACACAAAGTTTGTGCCAGCACTCGGAAGGCCTTCGAAAGCAGTCCGCGACCTGAACTTCCAAACGCATTGGGTTTAAGGATGAAACGTAATTCAAACTCGCAAAACCAAAACTCACTGGGCATAAACCATCAGAAACTGATGTTCGAAAGGTTTGATATTTGTGATGCCTAACTGTTCCTCCAATAAACGAGCAGCACTTTCGAATGCACCAGCTTTAACATGGTCCGCTACTAGTCTAAACCATTATTCTTCCGGAAGATGAATAAATGAAAAACTGGATAAAAAAAAACCTCGCTACATAGTACTTTCAAAACAAGAAATCGATAAAAAACCTGGAAATATTCGGCCAGTTGGCTGACGGAGGGTGGCCCCTAACCGGTGGTGAATAAAAGCCTTCCTCATCCTCAAAACCACCACGAACTTCCACTTCGGCCGGTAAGGCTAAGTCATCTCCAACCTAAAAACGCCCAAAAAATAGTGATTGAGATGCCAAATATTAAAAAAAACAGTCCTGAACTTTCCACAAGTGAAAAGTGAGCAATATTTATGAGTTGAATGAGTAACAACTTACATCCCAGCCTCCCTCTTGCTCATTCATCTCGTCTCCAGAGAACATTTCCTCATCAACCTCAGGATTACCCTCTTCATCCAACAAAAGATCGTCGCCACCCCAACCGACTGCTTCCTAAACCTTGAAGGTCAATAAATCAAACAAAATATAATCCTAGAACCACAGTGGAATTAAAAGATAGATACTTCGTCAAGTTCATCGGTGTGTTCAAATGCACTACGACCTTTAACTGTGGCATCTCCAGCACCTGCCACCTTCCCCCTTCCTAATAACTGCATGTCGAATGGTCCATGTACCATTGTTAGTAAAGGCCAATTATCTTCCATCTACAGAAACAACATTGCAGTGTTCATGCCAAAAACCCGTGTTGTGACATTAACTGAAAAAAACCTGCAAAAAAAGCAAATGGAATATTGAAAGACCTGTTGTATGGGTGGCGGAGGTACAAGAAGTACTGCTTTCTCCCGATCAATTTCCGGTAACTTCTGACCCCGAGCAGTTAGGTCAGCTTCTAACTGACTAGCTTCCTCAGTAAACCCGTGAGTTGCAGCAGTCAAGTATGCGAGCGAAATTTGGCCAATTTCTTTCAGTACTTGAAAAACAATCAGTATGAATTTGTATTATGGAAAACAATCCAAATGAAGCACATAACCACCTTTCTAAAGACGAAAAGACAATGTTAAAAACCGAAGACATTGGGCGCTGTCTAATAACTAAATCGCAATTAGAGAAGATAATATACAAAGAGAATTCAGAAATAAACTCACGTCTAATCCGTTCTTGGATATCTCCAAGCAAGAGCGCAGTTTCATAATTTCCATTCTGGTCCTAGAATCTTAGGTACTAAGCAAACAGATCAACGGCAAATAGTTAACAACTAACAACAGTCCTACCTTTCTTATCTGAGCAATCTTCATCATCTTCCTCAATTTGTCCATATTCCCGGTGATCAAATAAAGGAACGCTAGTTTTTCAAAGTCTTTTGCACGCTGATAAGACATTTCAACAATCTAAAGAAGCATGACGATTTATAAAAATGTCATTTTTGGTAAAATACATAGAGACTTACAAAGATCTAACTTACCTGGTGGTTGCCCTGAAGAAGAGCGGCTTGTCCAAGCGCCTCCCAAACAGCTTTGTCATCAAGAACCTTAGCTGCTTCAAGTGCCACCTAACATAAATGATTAAACTTTCTGAAGGAATTAACAAACGGAACTACCTTTTAAAATAAATGGCGAACAGAAAGGTAAAAAAAGGACAAAGATCTGAAAACAAACAACACAACTCGACCCTCACTTCAAGATTTCCACACTCCAACGCTAAGCCAAACCTAGTCTTCTCGTCCTTAACAAAATGAAGAGCAACTTCAGGGTATCCTTTCTTTTGAAGGTATGCTATGATTGACTGACCAACCATGTTTGCAGTGCGAACCATATTTAACACCTAAATTGAACTGCCCAAATAAAAAAATCAAATAAATTAAATCTGTATCTCCACTTGTGAAAGACAACTTTTGAGTTAACTATAACATTTCAAAGCAGTATTTAATCATCAGCAGTTCCCTCATCCAATATGAAAAAAAAAACTACCTCATCATACCGTCTGTTGATTAAAGCAAGTTTAAATTTATACTCAGTAGGATCAATAGATATTTCGATAGGAGTCGCCTCTCTAAAAAAAAGTGTCCTGCCTCAAAAGCTCTTGAAGCTTTCGTTTTTTGGTCAAATATATGTCAAATAATAAGTCTCTAACTTTCATTTAAATGATAAACATATTAACTCAGCACCAGTAAATTTGTTTCCTCACCTATTCAAACAGAAAAGACGTTCTCCTCGGATGGCAAGAATATATACAGGAAGATCTAAAGTACGAATAATGCCATAATCCCCCGCTGTGAGGGCATATTTTATATGATTACTTGTGGTGTACAAAAATACACCACCCTCTTCCCATGCCCCGCTTTTAACACGTGTTGACTCCTGGACAGTGCAAAGAACCTGAAAATAAAATTGAAAAAATCATTTTCTTTGTATTTTAAAACAGCTACGACTGCGGTATGCTGCTGTGAAAAAAAGTAAATTGTCCTGGTGCTAAAATACTTCCGAAAAATGTACCTCAAGTTTCCGATTGACCAAGGTCAAGACATGCTTACTGAGTAAAGCGGCATACTCCATGTTTTTAGACCAAATAACGTATTTGACCTTCAATTGCGTCAGTTAGGTTTATACAACACTAAAAAAATCCTAAATAATTTTTGTGGGTAGTTACACAGTAACTCACCTTTGAAACCTTAACAGCCGCAGTAACCCTCTTCTGTTGAACGTCTAACAGCTGTATACCCTCACTGTTCTTGAGCAGTAACAATCCTGTGCCTGCATAAAAAATATCTTCAACTGCAGCATTTTGTTCTATTTTACGATTCTCTCTGTTTGATAAATCCCGAATTGTAATCTGAAAAAGTATCACCCATATTCCTCGAGTTTGCCCCCATAATTTTTAAAAAAGAGATTATTTCTTATAATGTTGCAGCAAGAAAGTTACCAACAAACAATAAACGAAATTAGAGAAACCTAGAAAACTCTTCCTCAAAATGACAAAAAAAGAACTAAAGTGAAACAAAAAACCTGTTGGTTCTTGTCAAGTACAGCAAACCTATTTCGAGCAACCCATACTGCAGCCACTCCACTTGAAAGTTTAACCTCTGCGGGATCAATAGGTGAATTTTCATGAGCATCCTTTGGAACCTAAAAGAATGCTTAAGAAAATATATTCGTAATAATTATGAAAACGCACCTTATACATGTCGTAAGTACAGTTCTCCAAATTCGGAGCACGAGTAACAAGAAGAAATGCGTTTTCAGCTGGATTGTAGTGCAACGAATAATAAGAGTAGGTTAACTTCTTCCCTCTCAACTGTGTAAGCGCCACATCTTTGCTAAAAAAAAGTATTCATTTACTCCTTCAAAAAGTTTTTTTAAAATTACTTGTCAAATCAAAGTCTTTTTACAAAAACATTTAAATTTTAAAAAATCCGGAAAAAAATGAAAGAAGTAAAACTTGCTCGTTTGTCAAATCCAATCTTCTAAGCTGCCTATCTTTGACGTAAAACACAAGGCTTTCATGAACGTAGAACGCTGGACGCTCTCTTTCAATTTTAAATACTATCATCCCATTATCATGGCCTGCTGCGAAAGTATTTAAAGTAGGATGAGAAGCGAGCACCCAAAATCGATCGTTATCATGCCTAGAGTAAAAAATATTTAAAGACAAGCAAAAATTTCTCAAAAAATTCAACAAAACTCCAAAAAAAAAATGCTTCATTACAAAGACGTAAAAAACCTGAAAGTGTGCAAGCATGTTCGCTTCTGCATGTCCCACACACGAATGCTCTTGTCCTCAGAATTAGACAGAATAAGTTCAGCTTTAGGATGGAATAGAACGGAAGAAACATTGTTGTAGTGGCCACGACAAGAATCAACCTATCATAATCAGCTACAATTAAGTTATTTGCTAATAAAAAAGTCTCTGAAAATCTCAAAGCTTATATAAATGTCAGTTCGTATGAAAGCCAGGTTGTATAATAAAGCGGTTAAAGTACAAGTGAAGTACTCTCCCGACTTAAAGATTACCTAGGATTGACGAAGAAAATAAATGGCAAAAGAAAACCGAAAAAAAGCACCTGAAGAAGTTGTAAAAAATTTTACCTATAAAACTATAGCTTTTGAGGTACATAAACTAATTAAACTAACCTCCCATGCTTTAGTGTCGTTATACCGCCAAAGTTTAACTTGCCTGTCATCAGCACCAGAAACAAGCAAAGGCATAGTGGGATGGAAAGCAACCCAGTTTACCCCTGAAAATTAAAAACAGCAAAGTTGATGAAAAATCCGAAGCCTCCATTCCATAAACTAACCTCTATCATGTCCTTCCAACACATGCTTCACAACAACATCAGGTTGCCCAAACAACTCTGTTTGAGAAGCAGAGCCAGTCTTCGAACGAGTGAAAGCTGCACCAGACCCTGGTGAGACATTCTTTTTTCTTAAACCAGATATATTCCATATACGTACAGTCTGGTCAAGAGAAGCAGATGCAACAAGATCCTCAGAAGGATGGAACTGCGCACACATGACATAATGATTATGACCTGTAATTTCGAAAGATAAATCCAATAAAGTTTTCAGACAGGGATCTAAGACTGAACGGAATGTATGCTGCAATCTACCAGTTATAATGGCAATGCAGTTACGGCTCTGCCAATTCCAAATTCTAACTGTTTGATCATCAGACGCACTGATAATCCAAGGATAATTATTGTGAAAAAATGTAGTTCGGATGTAATCCAAATGACCGAGAAGAGTAAACAAACAGCGCCGCTGTTTGTAGTTCCAAACCTAAGATGAACTGTAGCTAGTGTAACAAGTTCTGATAAGTACGGGAAGGGATTCGTCCAAAAATCTTATGCTGCTTTCAAAAAACCATGGAATAATGTGGAATATGACGAAATTTCAGACCTTAATTTTGTAATCATCCCCTCCAGACACAAAAATTGGTTGCTGATTATGGAATGCTATTCCTCGAACAGGACCATCATGCTCGTCATATTTATCAATCAACACACACATACGGTAGTCCCAAAGCTGTATCAAACCGCTGTGCAGTGAAGCCAGTACCCAAGGACGAGTCGGATGAAAAGAAATTCCTGCATTGATAAGACTAGCATTAGTTTTCAAATAGATTCCAGAATATGTATTAAAGCGGTCACTAAACAGAGAACAAAGTTTGGGAGAAATAAGACAGAAAATCTTGCTTTAAAAGGAAAAACAAAAAAAGAATAAAAGGTATCAGCAAGAAAACAACTACCACCTTACCTTTAACTCTAGCTGATTTTGACTCAAACTTCTTTAACATAGCCATTTCTACCTAAAACATTACAAATCTTAAACAAGTCGCTGGTCACCCCGAATTGACTACATCAATAAAACAACCAAATTCCATCGTACAACATACAACAACACTTCAAAAATAGATGCATTTGGCTAAACGACTATGCCGTTTCCACACTGCAAAAAACAAGTTCCTTCTTTTCTAACTTTATTCGCAGACAAAACTGAATAACTATCTGTTGCCCTATAAAAAAATAATCTAAAAAGTTCGAAAAATAAAGTATGAAATCAAATCTACAAACTGTTCCTAGAGGATAAAACTAGTCAACTAATAAATCATCCTAATAAATACAACAAATAAAATGGTACCAACGCAGCATCTCATATAACTTCTGATAAAAAATCTCCCGATAACGCTGAAATTATGCAACGTTGTCTTTGGCCAACAGCATGAAAAATTTGGAGTAACTTTTTACGACTGCCAACACGACTATAGTGGCATTTTGCCAACGGTCAAAATGTTGGAGCAATTTAAAAAAAAAAAA